GTTAATAAACTTTACTTTTGTTAAACAAAAAAAAAAAACAAAACGTTTAAACAAATAATTATTTTATTACATACGTTTGTACGTGTCCAAGTTTTATTGTGTAATATACATAGAAAAGGTTATAAACAAAAAATTCTATGTGTACAAGTGTTTGTGTGATTGTGTTCCTGTATAAATAAAGTAAATAGGTAAGTAAACTTAACATACATACAATTGTCGCAGCAGTAGTGGTAAATAGTCATTTTTTTTTTAGTAGTACTAACATACATACATTCTAGTAAATAGTATGTGTCGTACAATGTACCAATTATAAACTAAAAACAAACATACGCATATAAATAATTACGAGAACTAAATAATTTATAATTATGTAGCATAGTATTTTTTTTTTTTTATTAATATATTTTTTTCTTATTTCACATTTAACCTGTCAGCTAGCTGCTTGCGTTTAGTTAAGGCGCAGACGCACGCTGCACAATTTAGTGCAGTTGGTTTGCTTGCGTTTTTTTTTTTAATCATAGTTTAATGCCGGCGCCAGGCTTTTAAAATTTTTAACTTAAATATATTGCCAACAGACTATTGACAAAAAAACATAGCATAAATAAAAACAAATACATATAGTTAAAAAAAAGTGTAAATTCCACATTTTACAATATTCTGCTTACCACTTCTTTTTTACTTTCTTTAAATTTTTTTCTTTGCATTATTTCACCTAAACTTAAAAAATATTTATTATAAATGTATGTATATTACTTGGTAATTTAAGTTGCTCACTTCGATTGGATTGGATTGTTTTCAAATGTTTAATGTTTGCCTGCTGAATGTCACATTCTATGCGCGTAGTACGACGCATTTGCGCTCTCACGCTGGTGTGGTGTTTTTCAGATGTAACAACTTAACTTTAAGTTCGGCAAACGTTGGTCGCTTGGCGGGATTCAAGTCCCACGCTTGGCGCATCATTTCATATATTTCGGGTGGACAGCCTTCGGGTGCTTCCATTTTATAGCCGACTTCAACGTGTTTCACCACGTCGTTGAGGGGCTGCAAGTGAAAAAGGGAATTCAAATGAGTCTCAGTCTCACCTTGCCCTAACCAATGGTACACATATTTTATTCTTTTGCAATACATACTATGCGGGGATAAGGAACTCGACCAAATGAATAAATTTCCCATAACAAAATTCCGAAACTCCACATATCAGATTTGTTGGAAAAACGCTGAAAAAATATATATGGGCAAATTAATTTTGCACAAGTAATTGGCACATTAAAGTCAATAGACTGCAATTTGTTGGCGAAATTCATATACTTACACCATTCTTGAGCGCTTCAGGTGCAGTCCATTTGATTGGCAATTTTCCGACATCCAAATTGTAGCATTCTTCGCGCGCTAAACCGAAATCAGACACTTTGGCGACACATTCTTCGGATATTAGTACGTTACGCGCGGCCAAATCGCGATGTACAACTTTTTTAGCTTCCAAATATTCCATGCCGGAGGCGGTGTCGCTGCATCGAATGAAAAACAAAAAGAATAATTTATTTTAAGTAATGTGGACGAAGGACTAATTGCTGGCAGTCGATTTTCTTTTAAATTTTAGCGAACTATTGCTTCTTTTTTAAATTATTTTTTCACTTGCTTGCATACTCACTAGGCAAAATTGATTTGATCCTTTTTCGTAATGTGTTGCCGTCCACGCGAACGCAGATAATCGACCAGCGAACCTTTGCTCATATACTCCGTCACTAAGTAGATGTGTTTGCTGGTGAAGACCAAGCCTATAAACTTTACCAAGTTTTCATGCTCTAAAGTGCTGCAATCAAGTGAACAGTTATTTATCACACACATACATAAATATATACTTTTATATGTACTTACGTCATGACGGATGCTTCCGCCAAGAATTTTTGCACAGCGCCCTCATCCTTTAGCATCTTAACGGCGACTTTTTCACTGCGCAATATACCCAGCATCACATCGCCGAATTCACCCTTTCCGATGCTTTCACGCAGCTGCAAATCAGCCTCTGGTATAACCCAGCCCTTGTCCAGGAAGTCCTTAGAGTTGATGCAGAATTCTTGCCTGCCCTTTTTCGGTAAACATTTTATCAATTGCGTGCACAGACCATCGGCATCTGCTTCATAATGCTACAAATAACGAAATAAATGTAAATTAATTAGACACGCATACTATGTGTGAAAAACTTTCGCGAGCGACTTACCGCAACCAATTGCCCCAGGTTTTCAAAGTACTCCTCATCGTCGATGGTTAGCTTGTTTTCCAAGTACTTGACACGGTAGTGTTCCACTTTGCCTTGGAAGCAGACGCATAGTGTATAGTCGCCTGGGAAGTTAGTCGATTCGCGTACTAAAAATAGGCCATCCTCGCGAGGCTGCAACAGGTGTTCGGCTTCGTCGCGTGTTATGCTGCCATGAAACCAACTATCAAAATAGAAAGTGAGTTGAGTGTGAGCAATAGAAAATTAAATATTTGAATGGTGGACAATTTAGAGCTTCACATCAAAACGTAATAAGCGGCAAACACACACATACGGTAATTTCACAATTGACTGTACTGTAGGTTTTTTTGTACGTTTTCTACAATATTTTGTTATTATAGATGGGGGCCCCATAATTTGGTTTGGTGCTGATTCTATGCTTCGTCACCAAATATGAGCTTACAAGAAAACGAATTTTTGCACTTCGTTCCTCGTGGCACAAAATTTGTTATTTTAGCTTCTGCAATTTGAGTTTTTGTTTTGCGTTTGTGTTTGCAAATGCAGATAAGATAAGAGTAAAGCAATACAAAACATAAACAGATAACGCCGAAATATGTTAACAAAGCTGAAGCAGGCCGTCAGTTGCTTTTGGTGTTATATGAGCTTAAAGCAAGTCGCGTGCCTGATATATAGAATTCCGAGTTAATTAAATATCATTACTTTATCGAAAGAGTTATTAAAGGTTTATGCACAGAGACATGTCAGATTAAAGCTAGCAATTTAAATACTGTTTATTCGATTTCAACGGCTTAAACAGATTAAATTTATAAATGTCATGCTGATAAGGACATACATACATATGTATGTAATTGAGAAATTCGCCCTTTTCGTGGTTCTTATCACGCCAAATTGGGTAATATTAACAATCAACTGCATTTCGTTTACTTACGGCATTGCGTTCAGCTTCACTTCGCACTTCCGTTGCGGCTGAATATGGTGTTGATTAACGCCGCCAGCCATAGCGTTGGTGGGTGAGTGCAACGATGCGGCTGCTGCATTGGAATTACTCGACCAGGCATTGGCCGCTACACCGCCACCACCATTTAAATCGAAACTATGCAATGATGTAGACATGCTAGTCGCACCTATGCCTGAGCTGCCACCAACACCAACACCGCCACTGCCACCAGCAGTGTTGAGCGATATCGCCGATTGCGTTTGCTGTTGACTGCTCGATAGCGATGAGGGCGCTTGCGCTTGGTGTAACAGCATGTTGCTGCCGTGTAGTGCGCCGCCTAGGCCAGCAACAATGGCGCCACTTTTCGGCGGTAGACCGCGTTCGTGCAACGATAGTGCGGCGCTATGTTGTGCCGCATTCAATGAAGACGACATAAGATTGTTGTTGCTATTGCTGGAAGCATTGGCTAGAAGCTGCAAATGCTGTTGTTGTTGCTGTTGCGTTACGGCAGCCACTGCAGCGGCTGTCACACCGCCCGTGGCGGGCGCGCAATTGCCACCACTGACAGCGGATGGTGGCGCAAAGGTGGATAAGATGTGTGTGTGTGTATGTGTATGTGGCTGTGCCGCTGAGCCAGTTAATTGCGATGTCTGCTGCTGTTGCTGCTGATGATGATGCTGTTGCTGCTGTTGTTGTTGCTGATTGGGTGATTTTGGTGAATGATTGGCGCCGGTTGCAACTGATATTAAATTATGACTATTAAGTGCATGCGAGGACAAGTGGATTGGATTGTGGTGTTGGTTCTGCAATAAGAAAGGAAAAAAAAGATGAACAAAAAAACAAAAAACAAACAAATGCAAGACGAAATGACTTTTATTGCTATAATTACCACGTTATTGTGATGGTGTGGCGGTATATTTGGCGGTACAATATGCGGCTGCGATTGGCTTAGTTGCTGCTGATGCAACAAACTGACGCCTACGCTGCCAGCATTCGCTATACCGACGCCACTCGCGCCTCCGCCGCCACCACCTACGCCGATGCCAATGCCGCCGCCTAAGCCGCCGCCCACACCGCCGTGATTCGGTTGCGGCGCGGGACGTTTATTGTGTCGTAAAGGCGCTGTGGGCGGCATTTGATGCCCGGTGGATTGTAAGAACCATGGATCGCCTGCTGAATTGGCCGCCACTGTCACGGATGGTTGCGAGAAGCCGCGATGATGACCGACCACTGTTGTTTGTCCGCTATGCTGAGTCGCTGTGGCGTGACTGCTCATAACTTTATTGCAGCTCGCTTTCGGCGAGATTGAAGATGCGGACGACGACGACGACGACGACGCCGGCGTGGCAGCCGTTGACGTCGTTGACGCTATACCACTCGCTAGTGGACTCGGTGTAGGTGTGCCCGCAGCGGTGTTTGAAACAGCCGATTGTCCACGCGCGGCGCCAGTAGCACTTGTTTTTAAAGTGTGTGATGCAGTTGTGACTGCGCTGATTACGGGACCGTTGTGAGAATTGATGCAGCGAACGTGCGGTGTAGCAACAATACGTTTGCTATTGTTGCTTTTGTGGCTGTGGCTGTGGCTGCTCTTGCTATTGCGGCCACTCAGTTGCTGCAGCTGTTCGGTTTGAGGTGCGTTTGGCTTTTGCTGAGTTGTTGAGGTTACTTTGGTCGTTGGTGTTGTTAGAGTTGCAATTGGTGTTTTATTGTTTGTTGATGTTGCGGCGGTTGTGGCAGTCGCAGTTGTTTCGCTTGTGCTACGGAGGGAGATTAAAGCTGCTGCTGTTGTTTTTGCTGTTGTGCTGGTGTGGTTTACGCCACTATCAGGCAGTTGTTGTAGCTGTTTGTGTTCTCTTTGTCCCCTTTTCGACTGTGGACATTTCAAGTCATTTGCTGGCTGTTTATTCTCTTTCGAAATTAACGATTCCTCATCTGTAAAAAAAACAGAAAAAACAGTTAAAAAAAAAAAAATGTAAAAGATAAATATTAAAAGCCGTAAATATGTATAATCTTAAAATTAAGTGAAAGCAATAAGGAAACATATTAATAGCCCCTCTGGAAGTACTTAGTACCTTTTACCTCCTATCAGGCCACCATTGAATCGGGCACCGAGTTCATTTGCGTTTGCTCATTTCAATCGCTTGGAAGCATTTGAATGGAATTCCATTCAACTAATTTACCATAGCGCTCGCATATAGTGATCAAAATGCAAATGAGGCCACAACACAGAGAAAAAATCAAACTGCAAAAATATGTACATTAGGGCGGGTCAATTTGTATGGGAGTTTTTTTTCAACTATGAGCGCTTAGCACAGAAAGATGCTACGTGTAATTCTAAGCAAATTTGCCGAAGAAATCATGGGCTTTAAATCAATTTGGAGTTTGTTAAATTGCGAAAATAGGTTTCTTAGCACTTTGCTGTAGTGTCGTAAAGAAGTGGTTAATTTTTGTATAAAAACATGCTGCCAGGGTTTTTTTTTTTGGTATAAGAAATCTATTTATTCAGTAATATTTTTCTTAAAACTTCAACCAAAGGGCGCAACAGTGAACATTTTCACATTTTCTTGCAAACCTATTTCCGGAAATTTGCAAACTCTAAAATCCATGGTTTCTTCGGCAAAGTAGAACCCGCATGGTAAAAAAAAATGTATACGCCCTAATGTACATGTATTTGAAAATAAAGCACAATTCCGGCGCTCGTTTCAGAGTCAACTGACAGCGTAGCTGGAGCTGAGCCAGTGACAACCAACAATCAGCAGCGCGCGCGGCAGCTGCGCAATAGCAACGTGATAATAAAATTTCAAGTTCAAATGCGAATTTTCTGTGCTTTTGTTATATTTATTACTGTTTGTTAGCTAGTTTCTTGTTTTTTTTTGTGTGTGTTTATTTAGCGTCAATTTGATTCACGTTTTTAAATTAATTCAAATTAATGCGGTAGTTGGAATTCTGTTTACGCTAGTGATTAGCTGTGCGCGCACCATATTTAATGGATTGACAGTCGCACGGACAGTCGATCAGCCAGATATGCTTGAAATATACATTTGTAGGTAGAGCTTTAGCCAGTGGGATGATAAATAAGTTTGTGTGCTGAATGACATAAGCTAGAAATTATGAAAACCTAAAATAAAAAAAAAAGGACAAAGTGTCAGCTCGGGCGAAATCGCGACTTCTTCAAATGCATACATACATACAGCTGCACACAAAATAATAGGATTGGTAAATTATAGTAAAACTGCGTACTTAGTTTTTCTCTCTGACGTCAGGGGTTTTTTAAAAGGACTTTGAAATTTAAAGATTAGCATTATTTCAAAAAATTATTTAAAAAATTCAGTGCAATGTAGGATAACGATAAGGGTATCATATAAAAGAAAAAATTCTATAGAATTATAACAGCACACATTTTCTGGTGCATAAGGACGAATAGGTATGGAAAATGTCCTTTACAAATTTTGTCCTTAAATATCCTGGAAAATTTATAAAATGTTTTTTCGAAAAAATTATTGTTTGAGGACTTTGAAATACGCACGACCTCATCGTCGAATTTCGTCCTGCAAACTTTATTAACTTAAAAAGATATTTATTTAGAGCGCACTTTCAATAGATACCTCCTATCGCCCTTGTAAGCCAACAAACTTTATTGTTTTTAAATTCTACATAATTTTCTCTCCCCATTGGCGATTTCAGAGAGAAATGCGAGGGTAAAACATTTCATGCAGCATAGTGAACAAATTCGGTAAATGAGCAAGTGATTTATTATTGATTTACTGCAAGAGAACCAGCAGATGAAGACATCGGTTTTGTTAAGCAATAAATGAAATTAAATAGTTAAGGGATTCACAAGAAAGAAACTGATACTTCAAGTCTCGCATTTTTTCTGGCAAAACCACAATCGCTTCATATCTACTAAAAAAAAGAGTATTCAGAGACGCGCTGCACAAAATATACATACCTCCTTTATTCAACTTCTTAACCAAACACTGCATACATACTATACATATGAGTCAGCTTTTAAAAAAAAAAATTAAGAACAAGGAGCCACAAAGATGCATGTAAATGCACGTAATTATGATGAATTACAAGCTAATAATAAAACAGATAGAATCATTGCAAAGTGTAAAAAGGTAAACTTGTGTCATCCATATTTCATTTTGAACGCACATTCAACTTTCATACACATACAACCCATCCTACGACACACACACACACACACACAGACAGACACACACAAACATGCGCTTACACACTCTTTGCGCGGTTATCTTGTTTGTTAATTTGTCCGAGCGCATGCGTCCAGCATCAAGTCAAGGTCAGTTGTTGCTGACATTTCTCGAGTGATTAATTGCATTTAAAGCTGTTGCAAGTTATACTCGCACGATAAAAAAAAAGCATAAGTAAACAGATTTTTGTTTTGTTTTTAATTTTTCTTCAACGATACCATCGCATGAACAAATGCACTTTCCTACATACATATTGTAAGTGTTGAAGGCGCACAGCTAATTGCGAACACGAGCTTAAAACTGATAGCGACGCCGTGACTGCAACACTGTGTTACACTCATGGCGGTAAGCGGTATCTTGGTACCCCCACCCCTCTGCCTACTATTCGTTCACAAAGTATGTACACACTATTTAAGTATGTAATGGTGGGGGAAAAAAAACAGCAAAACGAATATTTTGTTTTACTCAAAAATTTGGTGGAAAGCAATTTAAATTTAAATTTTATCGTATTCGCAAGTATTAGGCACGGTGCACATTAGAGCGATACGATACGCGTTACGCGATATGAAAGCGACATCGACATGCTGCTGAGGACGTGGAATTTGGTAGGAAGCGGTGAAAACTGTGCACACTTCCACGACAGCGACACTGTGGCGACATATGTATGTATATAGCTTGCGTATCGGCCGAGCTACACTTCGGCGACATAATCGTATCGGTCGAGCGACACGGTTTGCTATCACACCGCATATGGTATCGCGTATCGTATCGCTCTAATGTGCACCGTCGTGTCTAAAAGTTGTGTTTTTTCACTTGTAGATTTTTTTTATTTTTATATTTTTAGCTACAATCACCAAAAATTAGTACGCCAACCGAAACTGAGATACAAAATGAAAACGTTCTTAGTTTGTATAATGAAATGTAGTGTAAGGAAATATTACTTATATAATATGTACTATTGTAAAATCTAATAACATCACATTGTGCGAATATTATAAGGTTAAAAAAATCTTCTAGATCCCCAAAAATCTTCTTTTTAAAATATCTTAAAGGAAATTCGATATTGGCTTTACGGCTGAAAATAGCCCTTATTAAGTTGGTTGAAAAAATGACCAATTTTAAGTTATAAAGTCCTTTTTATAACCACTTAAACTTTAAATGAATATTGCCTCGTGTCATCACAAAATTTGTAGCACAGTTTACATATGTAAATATACACTGGCCAAAAAATATAAATAGGGACGCGACATTTTGCAAGTTTTGACCGACTTCAAAAAAGGATGACTTTATCAATTCGTACGAATATTTATTTTTATGTACATATATATGTTACCGCATAACTTTGGACCACTGACCACTTGAATTGATTTCGATAATTCCTTTTAATCGGAAAGGTGGTACCTCAAGGGTGGCCCCATACTAATTTGGTTTAGATCTTGACGATCAATATTTATATGAGATTTGAAGTCACTTGTGTTTTTTGTTTAAAAATTACTTGTTCTTTTTTTATGAAAGAATAGCTCGTTACCTATCAAAAACGATGTAAGTGCAAACTTCAATCTTTGTACAAAAGTTAAGAAAATTCGACAAGGTCGATAACAATTTGGAGCTTTTTAATTCGATTTTTTATTGATATTTTTACATGGATATTATTTTATAAAGCATACCGCTCCTTTTCTCTCGTTATACACTTATCCACGTAGACTCATCAGCATTTAAACTAGAGGGGATACAAAAGACCGTTTGTTCTTTTCCTCCACTCTCTAACTCTGCACTAGAGTGTATGTTTTACTGTGCGAGAGAAGATAATAGCAGATAATATTGTAGGGGATTTCATATTTTATTTTTCTTCTTCCTTCATTTGCTGCTTACAATGATATTATTGGCGATATTATCCATAAGTAATTAAACAATTTTAACTTAAACATGCACAAAAATCTTCATTTTGAAAATTTTAACGTGACGATTTTTACTGGGAGGGCCTCATCCAAAGAGTTTGCCACGGGCCTCAGATGGTATAGTTACGCCGAGACTGCATAGCAACTACATACATAGCTTCAATCTGCTGACTCAGTTCGGAAGCACGGAAATAGCTTCAGATAATATTGCATGTCATATTTTGAAATTTTTTCCCCCCCGACACGCATGCTTTTTATATGAAAAAATGCGCAAAATCTTATAGAATTTTTTTTTTTTTAGAATTTTTAGAGGATGGCAAATGAATGGAAAAAAGTTAGAAACTCTTCACATAACGGCATTATTTTCATTGCTTTACCCATTTTCTTCCGAAATTTCGTAAAGTGTCTACAGTTTATGTCATTTTAGAAAATTCGACAGAAAATCGGATGAGATTTTTACGAATTATTTAAAAATTCTCTACAATTCAGAATACTCTGAAGAAATGGTTTGCGGGGAAGTTGTATGCATAAAACAGAAAGACATACAAGCAGCTATAAAAATGAGGCTGTATACACTTAATACGGTTTTACGGTTAGATCTCACATGCAACAAACAAAGCCACTTTCCCAACGATTGTTTTCGCTCATTTGCGTTTGATTTTTATTATTGAGCTTCCGCTTCCCTTTTTAAACAAAACAAAAAAAAAATCAACGCATAAATTAGCTGAATCACACTTAAGATGGTGGTGTAAGTGTTGCTACTACGCAAAAATCTTAAAATAAAATACATATAAATAAGTGCTACTACATACAAAAC